AGAGGGGGCGATGGAGAGGGGGGAGGTTTGCCTCGATTCACACCTACATGCGGGGATATTTATTGGGATAGTGCTATCGGGGATGAATTCACGCAACTCAGAGGTAAATGATTATGTATGGTTGTTGGGGGCATACGATAGCCGTGTGTGGGGATATGAAGTATCTGGCGGGTTTAATTACGGGAAGGGGGGGTGGAGGGTCCTGACTTCGTCTATGTGGGCTATCGTGATTAATAATTGAGACTTGTGGAAGGACTTGTGGAAGGAGATTTTTGGAGGGGTGATTGGGGACTTGAGTGGCTCAAATTTAGAGTTTTGGGGTTTTTAATTTGAAAGATGGGAAAATTTCAATTTGGAGATTTTTAAAGTCTTTATGTGAGACTTTTATTGCTTTTAATTTGAGACTTTTAATAATTGCAACTGGAGATCTTTGAATGGCTTAATGTGAGATCATGAGTCTCAAAATAAGTAGTTTTTTTGGGTGCAAGCAAAAGATAAGACCTTTTTTCTAAATTTAAAAGGTCTTAAAAGGAGATTTTCGAAAGTCTTAATTTGAGATCATGAATCTGAAAATAAAATTTGTTTTCTTGGGTGCACCCAAAAAAAAAATTCTTTATTTTGAAATTTTAAAGGTCTTAAAATGAGATTTCTAAACGTCTTAATTTGAGACCTGAAATTCCCAAGCTAAAACTTCGAAAGGTCTTAATTCGAGACTTTTGAAAATTTCAATTTGAACCTTCAAAAATCTCAAACTGAGACTTTCGTAGACTTTCAAGTCTCAAAGTGAGACGTCCTAAAGTCTCAAAATGAAATTTAAAACCAACCGTCGAAACTCTCAAATTGAAACGTTCAGCAGTCTCAATTTGAGATTTTTAGTCTCAAATTAAAACCTTCCAAACGCTCAACTTGGCGTTCAGAAGGCTTCAATTGAGATCCCAAACTCTCAAATTAAGACTTTCCAAATTCTCAACTTGAGAATTTCAGGCTTCAAATTAAAATCCCTTTTGAAAATCTTAAAATACTGTATATTATTTTTTTGGGTGCAGTTACAGGAGCACGCAGAACGAAACCAAAATGACAGTGCGTTTGATACCCTCGAAGGGGCATAAAGGGTTGAGCCCTCAACCCCTCAAAATCCGGCAACCCCTTTTTTTTACATATCCCACTACTCACCTCAACTACTTCAACGGGGGGTCCAACTAAACTTCTTGTCGCGCTCGGTAATAAATATCGCACTCGAGAAGATGTTTGATAAAAAAAAGAAATAAAAATATCTAGTTCTGGCACCACGTGACACGCAAATATAGAAACCTACAGCGGAAAACAGGTAAGAAGGCGTGGCCTCTGTATTATTTTAGCCACGCCCCAGTGCCTCACCATGTGGATTGAGTCCGGGGATAAACGCTCGCCGATTGGTCAATAACAGGTTTACGTAGGTGTGGCGTGCATTAATTATTCTAAATAAGTCGTCGCCCCAGCGGCGACTGATTATAGAGTTAGCAATGCCATAAATAGAATGCCGTTTACCGATGCCTCGCTCGATCTCACTCGTGCAGGGGAATATAATCACGAAACTCTTTTTTGTTGTTTGAGATCGGAAAGCCTGTCAACTGGGAGAAAAAAAATTAATCTATCCCTTTAGGTTGAGACGATTGGTCCATTTCTTTGTTGTCTTCTTCTATCAGTTGAGTGACTACATCTCTTGGATTCCATCCTCCAGCGATGGAACATCTCCGGATGTCTGCGATAATCGACTGTGAAATTTTAATTATATTGCCCTGTTGACAACTCCTCATGGTCTTTTCTGTTTGCTCATGTGCCATTGCTTTTTTCTCGTTTGAAATTTTTTTCCCGTGGAAATTCCAAAAGAGTCAATGGTATCTTTATCACCATAAATAACAAACCATCGAAATATTTGACGACCGAAATTCAATTTCCAGAGTCTTGTGTTATCAGTAAGCGATCAATAACCCCAGTATCGTAAGTGAATATTTAGTTATTACGAAATTATGGTGCATAAATTTCTCAAATATTCCGTAATCTCCCAAATGTCTGATAACACTATAACGCTTGTGTGCCTTGCCTATAATTTAGAAATTATAATTTATTGACATGTCTCCCATGCCGGCAGCTGCTCCAATAGAGAGTGCCCCTCCCAAATAAAAGGAGATGTGCTGGGGCTGAAATGCTGACACCATTAAAAATCCTTGAAGCGATGATGTTGGAATAAATTATCTCATCGACATTAGGCCCGCCGGCTTAACACGCTCGATCCATATTGACCTACCATCTGCTGTGTTCTAAGACAACACATCCATTTCGCTCACCCGTGTTGGGCCCCAACCGTGAAACCGTGCGCACAAACACGCGGACAACCAGAACGTGTATAATTGGGACAGCTACGGATGAGTTTGAAATTCTCGGCCGAAAAAGCAATTTCACATGTAGTCAGAACGATGAAGACCCATCGAGAGGAGGTTTGTGGACTCAGAGAAATGAATTAACCCTCGAGCCGTTGCGAATTTGCGGTACGATGGAACAAAGAAACCAGACGCATGTTGAAGCGCAGTCGGATAGCGGCGGGATTACGGCACTCGGAGGTGCAGGCGTGTGCTGGAGGGTTCAGGGTGGGCGGTGGTATTCGCCGGGGGCGTGGTTATGAGCGCCGAGGGGGGAGGCAGTTTTTTTCGTGGTGGGGACGTAGGTAAATCTGAGACATTTACAAACCTAGAGATCCACTTTTTCTTCATTCTTGCAGATTAAGGAGGTTCAAGTATCTTTTACGGGTTGGTACGGACTACATGGTTAAATCAACCATTTTTAATCGTTACATTCATCGTTTAATTTGAGCGGAATTATTATTTTTTTTGAACATTCGTCGGTTATAAATAAATAATGGAAATTGTTTAAACTTTCGGAAACCTTATTTGTGCCTCTGAATGGATGCTTTTTAATCGTTATAATTTAAGTTTTGGATTTTTTGAGTTATATTTAGTGAGAATGATCCAAAATTTAATTCATCGATTTTTTTTTTATTTCTAATTTTTTCGAAAATCGGTTGTCCCACGATAACTAAAAAAATTTTTTGAATTGATTGAATGATGGCTTAAAAAATTTGGTTGGATGTCCTTTTGATTGAGTTCGAAGATGAAGGTGATAGCAATAATCGTTATTTTGATTTATTTGAAAATTTGCAAAAATTTTGTATTTTTTGAAAATTAGAATTCTGGGGATATCTTTGAATATCATGCTGCAACGGAATTCAATCATAGCTTAAAATGTTTGTTTTAACGCCATCAAGTCGAAGTTAAAAAATGATTATGATAGCTATATTAGTTGATTTGATTTTTATGATTTTTGAAAATTTTGAATTCTTCATGAATTTCCCTGAAAGTGAGCTTTCTGATGGTTTCTTCAAATGTGATGTTTCAAATTCATTCAAGAATGTGTAAATAATATTTTTCTATCAACATTTTATCGAAGGGCAGAGGGAGAGAGATAGAGCTGTAAAAAAGACAATCGGTTTTATAGAAGAAAGGGATAATAAGAATTATGATGATGATGACATTCAACTAAGTTGAAAATCTGACAAAATTAGTTAAAAAGAAATCTTGTTCAATTTAATAAAATGAGATGAACAATGAATTATTCATGATAGAAGCATATTGTTAATTCATTAACAAAAATAATTACTGTATACAATATAACAGCAATTTTCCATTTGTTTTAGGCATGAAATCCATTTCTGGCAAAATTGTGAATATGAATAAATTTGTAGCAATTTCGAAAAGATCATTTTTATGGTGGAAAATTGATTGTTTATCAATTATTTCTGGAAAATGCGCGTAATTTTCAAAAATTGCAATCTTTCTCCAAAAGTAAAATGTCTAAATTTAAAAAAAATTTAATGTTTTCTAACGGTTCAATACCAACATTAAAATTCAGAATCACAAAATTTAAATAATAAAATTATTGTAAAATGTCCGAAACAATTTTTTAATCATCAAATTAGTTAATTAAATTGAGCAAGAAATTTTGTTGTAAATCATGAATACTTTGCATCATTCACATTGCATTCTCCACAGAATCATTTTTTTAACATTTGTTGTTTATAAATAAATAATATAAAATCATTAATTATTCCATCAATCTTCCCCCAAAAGTAAACTTTCTAATTTTAATTCCAATTTTAAAAATGTTCTCCAACATTTGCAAAATTTAAACAATAAAACATTGAAAAACGTCCGAAAACCGGCATTCCCCCACAAAACTCGAAAAGCATTTCCCTAGATAAAAAATCCCCCAACAGCTTGAATCCCTTAAACCACCCCCGCGCCGAATCAAACGTGACACACGTTCATGTCAATATTTAGCCATTGAACCCAAGACAGATACATTGAAATTGCTGAAGGTGGAGGGGCATGAATCGATGGCTAATAACCTCGTGGTGGGGATGAGGGGAGTGTTCATCCCCACCTGGCGTTGAAAAAATCGGGCTGGTGGGGCTGGTGTTTAGGCGAAAGTGGGCGGGCCCAAGACACAAACGTTAATAGAGATACAATCGAGGGTGCCTAGTGCACTGGATCCTGGGCTCCAACGATGTAGGAGGAGTAAGGAACATACGACTCGCCGGCGCGGGTCCGGGGGGTGGGGGCGGTGGCGGGAGGGGTAAGTAGGGACCTCGGGCCCCTAGTTTAGACATCACCGTGCGACGGATGGACAGCCAGTCAGACCCGTTACGGCACTCGCACCAGTACTCGGAAACCTTGAGAAAATCTTATTTCGAGACGACAGCGCTGCGGCCCCCCTCCCCCCCCC